TGTATCAACTTTGGCTTAATCTTTAACAAAATCTCGTTAAATATCTTGTCAAGTTAAAGTCTTTTCCCCTCTCTTCTATCTTTCCACATTGAGAAAAATTATGTTGCAAATATAGCAAATAAAATTAGTTAAAATAAATATGATTAGCAAGCGCTGCAACATCGCATATGTTTTGTATCTAATCATATAGGATGACAGAAACAGAGTTTATATCTAAACAATTTGTCAAATTTAGCAAGAATTTTTCTTGGCGTTCAGTCAAATAATAACTAATTACACCTCTGTAAAATACTCAAAAAAATATTTTATTGATTCAGAACGTTATAGTTAAAATGTTTAATTTGTTGTACCTGTTGAAAAATTTTCTGTCGTACGTAGAATTTATATCAGCAACATCTAACAATATATGCAAGAAAATTTAGATCATAATCGAATCACACAACTATTTTTTAGGAAATGTGAGTTATTATCTGATTGGGTGCCATAAAGAAATTTTCTTGTTAAATTTGACAAATTGTTCACATATAAATTCTATCTTTGTCATTTACATTGATTAGATATAAAACATGTATAATATCACTGCATATTAGATATTTATCTGTTTTAATTAATTTTTCGTATCTAAATAATTTTTTATGAAATCATTTTTTTCAATGTATAAAAATAACTGTGTGATTTGGTTAGGAGACCTAAATTTTCTTGCATATATTGTTAGAATGCTGTTATAAATTTTACGTACAGACAGAGAAATTTCTAGCAGCTACAAAGAACAGCGATGCATTTTAACTGTAACATTTAGAATTCTAGCCGGACCAGCGAAACATTTTTTTTGCGTGGCAGATACTCGATCTCGTTCCGAGGCGACATTTGTTTATCGCATGTAAGAGGAAGAAGAATTTTTATTTCTTAGGAAGGTAAACATTATTGCAGTAATTGCAACGACGTTTATATACGACAATCGGAAATGTCAGACCGGAAATACCCTAAGGAAAATGCGTTCGATCGAACGTTGTTAACGCAGTTTCTAACTACGGGGATACTGTCGCCGTCGTCGTCGTTGTCGTGGATGCTGAAGGAAGAGACGGCTGGGGAAGGGAACGAAAGAGAAGAGAGTGCTCGTGTCAGAGGTTCATGCGAGCATGCAGAACCTTTTGAACGCAGCGTCCTTGAAATGTAATTCCAGCCGTTCCACTGACATTTTCCACGGATGTATTTTTACTGCGCATTGCGTAATTACATCTGGATCTTACGCGAGAGAGGGATGCCGTCGTTGTCGCCGCTGCTGCCGCTGCCACGGGAGCGGAGAGATGAGGGGTGGACTCGTACACGTTGGCGTGGGCGGAAAAGGGTTAAAGTTGAAATTAGACGCCTTTGACGGCTGAACTTTGTTGATAAACGTTCGCGCCGGGATAATACGTACGTGACATACGTTCCTGGAACCAGGTGCCTCCTCCACGGGGGAAACGTAACGTTCCGTTGATGTTGGCAACGTCAATATCGGCCCTTAGAGGCTGGACATAAATGACAATTCAGAGGCTCCTTTACGTCATTGTTATCGATCAATCCCTTACACGTCCCTCGCGCGGCGCGGCGTCAACCGAGAGACAGGCGAATTAAATGGGGTTAATAGGAATTCGTCTCGCAGAGACTCCTCGAGAAATGTCCTTCGATACTTCTTTCTTATCGGTTTATTCGTTTACTATTTTGTGTACTTTAATGAAACCGCCGAAAGCGTAAGATACAATTTAAAAATTTTATTGAGCCTTTCGCTCTTTCATTTGGAATTTCACGAAGGAAAGTTGGAAATCAGATTAGATTCTCAGGACGCACAAATGCAAAATGTTCCTTTTTCCTTTCTATTTAAGATTGATATTTATTTGCATCGCTGACACAAATCGAGGAAAATAAAATGAAAGGATAATTTAGTAACTTTATTCATGATCGGAGAGAAAATGTCTGCCATTGACAGTTCTGGGAAATGACGTAAGCTCTCTGTGTGGCGTCATTTATTTATATAAAACTGGCGCGGCCGCTATAAATGTCCCTCGATACCCTGTAACTTTTACTTAAACTGTCTTTTCCTTTTTTTCTAAATCGATATACACTTGGAGGGGTAGAGGGGAGGGGGGGAGATTAATCTGCCGCGTTTTATACGGGCCTCACCTCGTATACGGGCTCGATTTCCTATAGTTTCTCAACCTTCAAAGGTCTCCCCTGTGACATATTGAGTCTATCAGGATTCCCCATAAATGCTCGGAACCTTTCCCTATATCTCCGTTATATCATCTCGTTTAGTCCTATAAAAGAGCGAGATAACCGAGATACGACGTCTTTCATGAGAAGAAGTATAGAAATATATAGAAATACTATATGCGTATCTCGCAAATACGGATTCGAGACCTAAATCTACCGGAAATGGAAACACTTCCAAAATAGAACTATCGATCGATCGCGCAAGAATTTGAGCCGAACGAGTAACTTTCGAACGTGAAGCTGCACGTCAATCACTTTCACGCGACGAAATTTGCACGCGTGACCGAAAAAGATATGATGTCCCGCAATGTTATCGATTCGTTTTATTACAATTTTTTTCTGCCTAAAATTTCATTTTGCTTATTTTAGTTTTGCATTTTGTGGGAAATGTCTAATTATATCGATAAAATTGTTCTGGGAGAGAGAACAATAATCTACGCGAGCGAATTGATTTCATTTCCAATGGAGAGAAAGAATTTTTGTCCTCGTTTCTCCCGTTTCACTCCTTCATTCCCGTGCTACGAGAGAAGAGATTATTTTAGCCGGCATTGAACAACAATCGAGAAAGTAGCGTAGTTTTTTCCGCGTCTCTGGGCACGAGGGCAGAATTTCGACTCGCGGCGAAACGAGACGTCACGTTTGGAGACGGCGTAGGTGAAGCGACGTTTGTATGAATGGAGGCGAGTCTCGGATCAGAGTCGGCGGGCAAGGACGACTAATTATAGCATTAGTATCTCTCAACTTCGTTTCATACATTAACCATGTGCACCGTCACGCACATGTGTATACGCGCGTCTGATACACGCACTCGATATTATTATCATCCGACAGGTTGGAGGACATGATCCATTTTGATTATCGTCATCGTCATCAACGTCGTCATCATAGTCATCGTAGTTGTCGACGTTGTCGGCGCGGGGATGCGAATTCAGGGCAAACGTACGTCACGTTTACCCTTGTCCTGTTGTCGACACCTCTCTCTGTATGTATATATGCGTATGGTGCGCGCGCATATGCGTGTGTATGCGTGACATTTTTCATACCAACATCCACCGACAAATTGCCGCGAGAGGAACACTTGCGCGCAAGATCCCTGAACTCGATACTCGTCAGATAAATCTGATACGAGCGTGATGTGCCGCACATACGAGTCTCCCTCTCCCTGAAACGTCCTATCTTAATTTTAATGATTCCTCGATGATACACGTCGGTGACGAATATCTCGTCGGAACTGGAACTGATACTTGGAACTCTCGAATTATCCGTTGTGACTCGTATTGCGGAGGCAGATTAGATTTTAGTTATTTAATCACACTCGAGAAGCCCGACTTGTGGGAAAGCCCTTTCAATAGGGACTATTATTGCTCTAGTTTCAAAGAGACGAGAGATAAGACGAGAGTAAATCATAAATTGTTTGAAAAACCTATTAATAAAGTTGTGACATTCCATGCGAGGA